AGGTATGTATTTGTTCGAAAAAATTTTGGAAGAGGTTTTATGCAATAATATTGGAACACCAAATTTTACTGAAATTTTTTTTTTACCAAAACCATCTTTGGATTATAAAATAGTGAAAAAATTAAATGTAACATTCGTTGGATATCTATTATATCATCTTCAAAAGCTCTTAAAAGTTATACAGCTGCTAACAAAATCGCTGTGACCATTTAAGTGTTTTCGTGTTTAATATCAGTCTTTATAAAATGTAATTTGATAGGTAATAATTTGCGCGTTTTTTGGCTACAATTTCTTTACTTTATCCATGGATACTTTAATACACGCAAAGCTTTCTTAAAAAATAATTGGCTTAAGTTAAGAACGTTATCATTTAAATAATCAATATTAATATTGCTACATTTGGCTTTATTTCAAGATTTGTAAATTGTTCTATTTTAAAACTTTAAAAAATAATAATATATCTTATAAACTAAGGAAATAGGATACATTAACTAATTCTTTCGCTTTCAAAATAAATTACTTCAAATTTTTTTTATGTCTATTTTAACCTTGTATTATCTGTTTTAAAAATATTTATAGTTTTTAAGACGGATAATTTTTGAAATATTTGGCATAAAAGAAGCGTGTCTTAATGCGTCATTTGCACTTGCGAAATAAAATATAAATTTTTCATAAAAAATATTATTTTATTACTAAAACTGCCAACGTGTTTTTATTAGCAAATCTAAAAAACATATTTTTGATGGTCAAACAGATTTATTGACACCTGTTTGGGTGCGTGGTGGCTTAACGCAAAATATATTTAATTATATCGATGGATATTTGACAAAACATCCTAAGCGACAATTTTGTTGAATTACTTTTTATTTTATCAAAGTGTCAGTTACGATAAGCTGCACATGTTAACATAATAGTTATCCCAATTTTGGAATCTAATATCAGTCAGTTTGAATATTTTTATTATTGTAAGCGCCTCTTCTTTTTAATTTGTTACCGATTTATAACGTAAGCGCCTATATGTTCCCGACAAATAATCGTAAGCAACTCCGAGACATGGCGTTTGCGATTTAACATTAAAAATAAAGCTCCCACACAAAAAAATCTCTCCTGTAAAATTTAGGTTTTGTCGCTTACGATGTTTTGTCAAATAACCATCGATATATCATTTATATCATTCATAAAGAGGGTCTTTCGATTGAAAAAAAGCATTTTTGAACTAATTTTATTTCAAAAATGAGTTAAATGCATTAACAACGTGTATCTATAAGTTTTAATAATAATAATAAAAATAATAATGTCAAATGAAGCAGAGCTAATGACCATAGCTGCTGCTGCAGTCAATGCTCTAAACACAAAAAAATATATAGAAGAGCTAATGACCATTAGTAGTCGATGCCTCGAATAAAAATGAAAAAAATAAATAATAATAATAATAATAATACCCACTGGGGTAACTCAGTGGGCATTATTTCGGATCCATAATCCAAAGGGCCCAGAGCCCAGAGCCAGGTAAAAAATAATAATTAAAGTCTAATGTCGAAGGGTTAAAGTCCTAAAATCCTGCAAACACTAAAAAAAGTTCTAGATCAAACAAAAAAAACAATTTAAACACAAAATATGAACTTTATACATAAATTCAATACTTTAAGATTAATAACTAAAGTAATATTAAAATTAGCTGTCCAGTAGCTCTTGTATTTTTTTTAAATTTTTATAAACTTAAGGAATTTAAGTTATACGATGTGTCTGGAAAACAGACCGACAAAGGGTGGTAAAGGACATCAAAACAAACATGTTTTGCTTACCCCTATACAGCACTGAATATTTATGCGACGGTGCAGCAAGATTGCAATATTGCAGGAAACCTTGCTGCAGCGTTGTTGCAATGTCTTTGTCCGCGTCTTCAAGTTACATGCAATGTTGCAGCAAGATTACAAGTAACATTGCAGCAATTGTTGTCTACAATGCAATAATTTCATCAAATTATCAATTTTTATTATTAAAGATTGCGAATACTTTTAATTTGAGACCAATATTTATTGTGTGATATTTTACAAACAGTGTGAACTACTTGGAAATTTTAAAAAATCTAAAGAGCTGTTTCCGGGAAATTAGGTTTTTATCGGGAAAATTTTGAATCCGCCATTTTGTTTTTAAAAATTGAAAAAATGCAAATTTGTAATCAGCGACCTCAAAAAACACATGTTGCCAAATTTAAGCAATACCAGAATATTTTTTTTGGAAAAAAAACTCCTTGCCATTTACAACAAGTGCAAACTTTAAATCCGATGCCAATGGTTTTTGGGTCGCAATTTAATGGAACCTCACTTTCTGATGAAGCATGTTTTACGCATGATGGATATTTTAATAGCAAAACAGCAACATTTGGAATGATGAAAATCCTCGTGCTATAATTTCTAAAAAACACCAGCAAACATTCTTGGAGAGAAACAACAATTAGTTGCTGCCTGCTCGTTTAAACTCAAACATTTACAGAATTTTTTGCAAAATGGGATTTATTATTAAATATGAAATAAAAATAAAATGTCTGTAAGCGTACAAACCCCCCCAGCAAAGAATCTGTAAAAGTTACACACCAAGTGATAAATGAAATATTACACCACGAAAAATGTTATATTAAATTTCGACAAATAAATAAAATAAATACTTACGGTAATAAAGCTCATTAATTAAGTGACCAAAGGTACTTTTGAGGTGTTGTATTCATGGGGAAACTATTAAAAAGGAAATAATAAATGCAGTAAATAAAAGACAATAAATTACGTTTGAACTCAGGTCAAACACCCGGAAGGCTCCCGTTTATTTTTATATAAATATCTCTCTGCATTAGGCCTCCATCCTCCAAATAAAGTTTTTATAATTACTTACTGTTAAATTCAAGTTAACTATTACATAATTTTTATGAAATATTTATTAGAGTTCATGCTCAATCGACTATTATTATAGAAGGAGTAAATAAATTATCAGGATCGAGATCGTTTTAACTGAGGGTTCGCAATTGTCTATTTTGCCTTATTTGTCGGCAAACTTTAAAAAATTAATAATTACCATAAAATATTAGATAATTAAAATGAGACAAATAATAAAAACCATCGTCTGCGTCGCGCAGTCAGATGAAACCAGACCGGCCAGCACCTAATAATTCAAAATGGGCTTTTATATCAGGACACCATGGACAGTGGTTATAAATTAAATGTCGCTATCCCACAATTACTGTTGCTACTCACTCCAAACGTAATACCAAATAATTAAATATGACTGGTAAAATCAATTAACTAATTTCGGGACATAAATGTGAATCTGCGAGTACAATTTAATTAATCCCGTATTCAAGAAAATCTATAATAATTACACTTAATTTACACAGCGTTTATGGTAAATCCCCTTTAAGAAATATTTATTAAAATAATTAAATAAACTTAAGTACAACCCTGACATTTAGCTAGGTAAAATTCAGTACAAACCTGTCCTTTTAATGTAAGCGGTATGGATGGCTTTGGTATACAATTTTATACTATAAATTATGGAATGGTATAATGTAGCCTGCTGTATACACATTATAATGTTATTCTATTCTCCATGGTTAACCAACTGGTGGTTTTTAATGTACCGAGTCAAACTTTGTTACGGTATACCGTAAATATTGCGCAAGCAACTAATTTGGACTGATTTTTCCTTATATCCTTTATGTTCTAAATTTTAGAATACCATCTTTCAAATCCAAAAGTTCTGTGGTACAACTTAAGGATAGTCAACTCCGTTTAAAAAGCGTGCGGTATATTTTACAGGTTTTGTAATCTTTCCTTTTACCACAAAGATCAAATTAAACGATATGTGATTGGTCAGTCAAAAGTGTGCACAACTCAGAGAATATACGGCACGATATTGTTTGGCAAAATTTAGGAAGTCGACAGTGTGGGCGCATCTGATTGAATTTAAATGTAAACGTCGGATTAATAATAAATAAATTAATAATTTGCATCACTCGACAAAAGAGTAGTGTTTACCTTCTATGAATTCCTTCTTTTATCTAACAGGAGTAATTGCTAAGATTCCATGGTAGGTAAATAAATTATTATTATTTAAAATAATATACTATTCCTTTCAGTTTTTTTACAATTTATGTTTTAAACTGCTTATTTTACTTCAAAATAAAGTAAACCACGTCGACAGTAAAACAAATAATTTTTTCTCAATTTTTATTATCTTTTAAATTATAACTCATAATTTTTTATTAATCACAGAATCGCTGTAATAATATTATTATTAGCAAACTTGATCGATTTATTGTACAGTTGATCAATTTATAAATAGTATCGCGCAAAAATATAAAGAAAAATATCCAACAGACGAAACTGAAACGTCTAAACGAATAAAAATTTCGTATTTTGGCACTTTGCCAGAGAAATTACGAATTGACGTACTTGAAGTAGGTAATTTTGTATTTTTGAGAAATGTAGGTACGGTTTATAAAAACCGGCGAATGCACCATTTTTCCGATATGATACTTTTGCGTTTTAGATTATTGAATAAGATTCATAGTGGTGTCAGTTCTATAAAAAAAAATAATAATTTTCTCCCATTAACCAAGTAAAAGTTATCTAGCACGTCAAAATTATAATAATTATTGACAAATTTCACATTTTTTAATAAATATTATAAACACTAAATTAATCACTAGGCCATGTCAGTGATTTTTGTGTTTGGTAAGATCACTTGAGAACAAAGTGGTGCTATTTATTTGGTTTCACTGCTTTCTGACATTAAATACAATTAAATAAAACCTATACAAAAAGGGCGCATACACCATTTTTAAATACAACAGCGCACCCACCATTTTCATTTGTGTTCTACTGTTGTTTCGATTAAGATTGGTGTGTTTAGAATGCGAGTCGTGAAATTTTTGTATGGGATATTTTTAAATGTGCAGCCACGTTCTTTCTTGGTGGATAAGAACCGCCGCTACAGGTGTGCAGAGAGAGGCGAAAAGTTACCGGGCGTCGGTAGCGATGGGCGTCATCGGTTCGCCCGATAAAAATAGTACGGTTTGGCATCGTCAACACTTCTACAATTCTACGACAGTTTGTAATTCGCAGCTATTCGTGCGGTACATTTCTCTAAAATAAACCGTAAATCCACCAAAAAATTGTGCACGCGTTTGTGCAAACTCCTCCGCTACTGCAGTGGTGTGTTCGAGTTTGAAATCGCGCAACAAGTGTTCGAAAATTATTGGCTCTGCTAAGTGACATTCAAATTATTTATTGCACGTGATTTAATGTAATTGGCGATTAATTTTAATCAACGATGCCTTACTACAGTGATTTCAGCTCTCCCTCTAGTAGTTACTCGTCCTTTTATTCACCCGGTCCTTACTCAAACCATTCGTCCATACTCGCTTCCAATTATTCCTCACCGTATAAAACCATCATACCTCGAAGCTACAGAGGGTACAAACCACATCTATCAACAATATCAGAGGCGCAAAGTGCCTTAAGAAGACTCAACGCACCAAAACTCATCCTAGGATCGTCGTCAAATGTTGTTGTACCAAAACCGATCAAAATAAACACAGCTGACATAGACGTCTCATCAAACAAATACAGAAAGTACAGGACAAGTCCAAAAACAGAAAAACAAAATGAACCAAAACCACTTCTAAGCCCAAGAACATCATTGGAAGAGAAGGAGGCAAAACCCAACACAAACATTCGCCGAGACCGAGCTACAGTGAGATTAAAAACAATCCACAAAGATACCATAGAAAGGGATCTAAACAATATTAAAAGCTGGCGCGATAACTTCGAGCCAGATGAACTAAACGTCAAAGAAAAAATACAAAAGAAATCCCCTGGTGAACTTCTTGTGGAAAAGTTTTTAATCAGGAGTCGTAGCAAGGAAAACATGCTAAATAAATCTAAAATCAATCGTAGAGTATCAGTGAAGAAGCCATTATCTAAATCAACTAGTTTTAAAGATATTTGCACTGCCATATCTTCGGAAACAGTTAATGAAGAATTGAACCCCGGTCAACCAATTGAGATACAACGAAGACAAAGTCGACAATATTCAAGTGATGACATTTTAAAGGAACTACGCAGAAATTCCAAAGAGTTAACTGAAGTTGAGGCAAAGTTACTTGACCAAATCCTCGATGAGAATGATAATATTTCTATATTAGAACCTATTCAAGAAAAAGGAAAAGCAAAGAAGGAGAGAAATGATACTAAAGGTAGTGTTAGGAAAAGAAAAGTAACCAAAAAAAATTCAGATGAATTGCTTATCGATTCTAACGACTCTGATACTAAATTGAAATCCACAATACAAAGACGTCCGACGCAGAAAAAAATCCGTAGATCTTCAACTGACACCAGCTTACCTAGCAATGACGCAGTAGATGAAAACCTCGAGAGGGAATATCAAGAAGCCATTCGCGACATATCTCAAGTAGAAGTAGAAACAATTAAAATCAAACCAAAACCAATCATCACAGCCACGGTAGACATAGACGAGAAACAAACCTTAATACCCGTAGTAGACGATATTGAAATAGAAGAATCTCCTACCAGAAAAAAAGCGAAAGCTTTTCGTTTTAACGTTATTGTCGAAGAGGTGGAAGAACAAAAACGTAGAAGCGGGTCCAATACTCCGGAAACAAAACATAGAAGTCGTTCATCCACACCAACAGACGAAATTAAGAAGAAGAGTACGTTAAAGAGAAAGCCTTCGGTAAAGACTGCTGAAGCTGGTAAGTTTCATTTGCCACAAGCTAAAACACCTGTTGTTTCCAATATTGTTTTAAAAAAGCAAAGCAGTCATCTAAGTAATATAGTTGAAGAAGATGACAAAGCCGAGGACGCAGAAGAAGTTAAAATAAATTTAGAAACGGCCAGAGATGTTTTGAAGAACAAAAATACTTTTATGAAGAAAGATGATTTAAGATTGCCTTTAAAAAAGGATGTTTTAAGCAAAAGTAATGTTGAAATATCTAGTAACAAGATTTTTAATGATAAAAATAATAAATTGGGCGCAGAAGTTCCTAAAATACTGGGTCTATTACCCAGTAAAAATGATGTTTTAAGTAAGAGTAATGAGGAAATTGCCAATAAAGGGCCCGAGGAACTTCCTAAAATACAAACAACTTTTATGAAGAAAGATTTAGATAACTCAAAACCACTAGAAAAAAAGCTTATTGAAGAAATAGCCAAAACACCGGAACCAATATTGAAGAAAGAAGAAATTAAAACCAGTTTGCCAAATACAAGCAAAAGCAATGTTGAGTTCTCTAACAAAAACATCGAGAATAGGCTTGATAAGACCAGCAAAAGCTTAGATGAAGAAAATAAGGTCGAGAAAAAGCTTACTAAATTTAGTAAAAGTTTGGATGAAGAAAATAAAACTGAAAATAAGCTTGATGAAATCTCCAAAACTGTGGATGAAGAAAATAAAATCAAAAATAAACTTGTTAAAACTACCAAAAGCCCGGACAAAGAAAATAAAATCGAGAAAAAGTTTTCCAAAGTAAGCAAAAGTCTGGATGAAGAAAATATATCAGAAAGTAAACTTGTTAAAACCAGCAAAAGTCTGGATGACGCAAAGTTGGATAAGAAACCGGAGAATGTTGACTTGCGTAAAGAAAAAGAAGAAAATGATGAAGATGAAAAAGAGGAAATCAAAGAAGTTAAGACTGGGAAGATAAAAGTTGTAAAACCTAATAAAAATCAAATGGAAGATGTGGTGATTGGGGAAGAACCAGAGGAAGAATTTAAGACTGAAGATACAAATGAAGAAACTGTAGCGCCTGGTAAAATAACATCGAAGAGATCGTTAATACAAAAAGCTAACAATCCAGATCCTGACTTGTCTGTATTTGTTCTTCCACCTGAAGTACTAGCGCAAATGGAAGAACCTCCAAAAAAAGAAGAAGAAAAGGAAAAAGAAGAAGAAAAGTTTGTACCCTTGCAATCAAACCGCATATCCGCTTGGATGCACCCTTGGAAGAAACCCGAACAACTCGAGGAGTGCCCCATCGAAATTTACGCACGCCCGAAACCGATAAAAGGTAGACATTATCCGCGCCCGCGTCATCCGGTCAGTTCCGAAGAAGAAAGCAGTGATGAAAGTGAAGAAAGTGAAGAAAGTTCTTCAAGTGACGAGGAGGAGACGTCGGAAGAGGAGAAAGGACAAAATGGAACGACCTATGGTAAAATTGGTGCAAGTACGTCATCGAATGATTCAGGTTTTGATTCCGAGGCCAAGGGAAGGAGGAATAAGGGTTAGATTGTCGTTATTTTTATAGTGGAGACCTTATTCTATAGGAAAACTAATACATAATTACAAATTTGTCCAAACTCAAATAAGTTTTAACAGTATGTATCAGTTTTCTTAATCTTGTTGTTAGAAACTGTTGGTTACCAAGACAATGATGTTTTGCCAAAAAACATGCTCTCTATATATTTCGCAGCGCAATTCAAGTGTAATCACTTGTGCTAGATAAACGACCTTTACCTAGCAAAAAAATGATAATTAGCTCTTTATTTATATTTTGAAGGTATACCCACGATTTTTTCGAGTGTGCATTACACAATGTATATTTTTAAACTGAATATGGTTCGTTGTATTTAAATATATCTTTTGGCAAGGTACTGATACAACTAAAAATCACATAATTTATTTTTTGTAATTTTTTTGCTAGACTGCGATGTTAATTGTCATAAAAAATGCCAAAAATTGACCGCCAACTTATGTGGGGTCAATCAAAAAATGGTTGTGGAGGCTATAAGTTCAATACAATTAGTCAAAAAAGGTAAGGATTACATTTCCGATACATGATTAAATAATAATTATTTTTAACTTATATTTGAGGAAGTAGCCCAACATATTGATAAATTCATAGATCAAGGTGATAAAATAAAAATAAATTTAAATACTTTGCCAAGTTTAAGTAATTGTAGGGTTGGTACACTCGGTCATTTATTTACGCCTATCTTGTTAGTAAAATTGTTGTAAGCAGCTGCCAATCCACAGGTTCTTTAATATTGTATTTTTTAAATTTAGAATTTTGTATTATTGTTTTTTAAACAAATCATATTAAAGATTTATTGGTCTATGACTTAAAAGAATTGGCAGATGAACTAGGATTTTATAACATCTGGAAATCAAAACAAAAAAACCCAAACAAAATCAAAATTTAATAAATCACACCAGCAAAGTGTATTTTGGTCCGACTAGAAATTAGTAATTAACCTAAATAAACGAAGTAAAAAGTTAAATGCATGCTATTTGCATCACAAGGGGGCCACAACATAAACATGACAATAATTTGCAGGATCTTCCGAAACTAGGGACTCTCCTGCTCCTCTGGCAAACAACCCTGCTTATGCACCTGATGAAGAAGCTGCAGATGGATATACAGCTTCGAGTACTTTTCAGAGTTTTCAGAAAACTGGAAGAATCACACCTCCAGCAACCACTATACCCAGATTCAGGAAATACTGCGTCGAAGACTTTAATTTCCTTAAGGTTCTTGGAAAAGGAAGTTTTGGAAAGGTATGAAATTGTATTACGAGGTGTGTTCAGAAAATAACGGGAATTGTTAAATTTCGCGGGTTCGGAGGGTCCGGTTGTCATAAAATTTTCTTTATTATGTTGGTATACATGCCCCGAAGTATGATAAAAACTTTAGCTGTTTTCATTGTTTACTTTGTCTGTGGCAGCCGCTAAGGTTAGACGTGTTTTTTGAGCACGGCGATTTTTCGTTCGTTAAAAGAAATGGATCAAAGAATATGTATCCAATTTTGCTTAAAAAATGAAATAAATTCTGTGAAATGTTAACAAAGGCCCATAGTGAGTCTGCTATAAGTAAAACAAGAGCTTACAAGTGGTATAAGAGTTTCCAAGATGGCCGTGAAGACGTTGAAGATGACGAACGCCCCGAACGCACAAGCACATTAACAACCGATAAAAACATGGAAAAAGTGGAAGAAATGGTTATAAACCATCAGAGAAGTCGCTGATGAGGTTGGTATATCGATTGGCTCATTCCATGAAATTTTTTCGAATGTTTTGGGTACGAAACGTGTGGCAGCAAAATTTGTTCTAAAATTGTTAAATTTTGAACAAAATTTTTGGCCAAAAACAATACTGTAATGATGCCCCAGCCTCCATATTCGCAAGACATGCCTCTGTCTGAGTTTTTCCTATTCCCAAAAATAAAGAGAACCTTAAAAGGCCGTCGTTTTGCAAGCATAGATGACATTAAAAGCGCATCGCTGAAAGAACTAAAGGCTATCCCAAAGATCGAGTTTTAGAAGTGTTTCGAGTATTGGAAGAAGAGCTGGCACATGTGCATAATATCCAATGGGGACTATTTTGAAGGCGACAACATTAATGTAGACAAATAAATAAATATTTGTTTAAAAAAAAAGAAAATTCCTGATATTTTCTGAACACACCTCGTATATGTTTGCAATGAATAATATATTGACTTGGTTTATTCTTCAAGGTACTTTTGGCGGAATTAAAGGATACAGAATACTATTACGCTATCAAGTGTCTTAAAAAAGATGTTGTTTTGGAAGATGACGATGTTGAATGTACTTTGATAGAAAGAAAAGTTTTGGCCTTGGGTACTAAGCATCCGTACTTGTGCCACTTGCTTTGCACCTTCCAAACTGATGTGAGTTTTTTTTACAATTTTTCCTTGGTGTTTATAGCTTTGTTTCCGAAATAATCAGAAACTGGTCAGCACCAATCATATGTTTTAGTTTTTAAATCGTTTATTATCGCTTTTGAGACATCTGATTGGATCTGACAAAGCTTATACAGGGAAAGTACATCTGCAAACAAATGCCATCGATGGGTATGGCACGCCGTTTTAGCATTTATTATATAATAGTTTAAAGATTAAAGTTCAACACTTTAATGATGTTTTAACAGAAACTTACAAAGTTATTTTTTTTAACTCAAAACATTTAATAGTCAACAATTTTTTTAAATATAAAATACAATTGTAAAACTGTAATCTTAACAATTTTAGTTTAAATATATTATTATACAAAATTTTCGGTTTAAATTTGTAAAGAATGTAAGTTTTAAATTTTAAAATGGTAATTTTTGGATTAAAAATTTATCGACTATCATTTAAATGACTACAAATTCAAACCAAAACTTTTATATTGAAACATTTTTAACACAAAATTTATAACTTTACATTTAAATGTACCTAAGTAGATAATTTTTAATTTACAAAGTCTAAAAGTAGCTTTAGTAGACGGCGTAAGTGTAGTCCATAGTCGGTGAAACCGTTGAGTGAAGAACACCTTAATCAATGGTGAAACGTAGTAACAGCGAAGTATGCAGAATATGCAGTCCGCTAAGCAGCGTTTACACTTGTAAATTAAAAATTATCAACTTACATTTAAATTTGTTTGTGTTAAAAATGTATTAAAGTTTTGGTTTAAATGTCTTTTTAAATATTGATAATCAATAAATTTGTACCAAAAATTACCACATACACATTAAAAAGTAACTTTTAAATGCAGTGATGTAATGTATCGAGATACATGTATCTAGATACTGGATCTAGATACATTTTATGTACCTAGATACGTATCGAGATACTTATAAAAATCAGGATCTACTTTAGTATCTAGATCCTTTTGAAAGTATCTAGATCCTTAGATATAAGATACATTTTATTTTACCCAACCTGATTGCAACTCCACACCGTGTGGGCCACACGGAAAATGAACATCCAATGGATATACTCTATGGATATCCAGGATATATACCTACATTGGATATTCTTGATATCTCCCGTAAGAGATGAACAATACGAAAACCGTAGTGCTGTTTATAGACTCCCGTACCCTAATCTATAAACTGAACTACTGTTTTCGTATTGTTCATCTTTTACGGGAGGAAGGAAAGAAGGAAGGAAGGCAATCTATAAATCCGGCTTAACCTTCAACCCACTTTGGAGTGCGAAGTGCATAAAGTAACTCTTAGGCACTAGTGAGTAAAGTTAAACAAAAGCGCTGTAGGTTACCTATAGTTGGCTTTGAAGGCATTTTTCTTCGTTCTGATAATTTTGAATTTGTACTACAAATTTTGTAGTAAGCTTTCATATGGCGCGTAAATATAAAATTTATTTCCGTTTTCATGGATATTTCGTCAATTTTATCAAAACAGTTTTATTTTATAGTTAACACCCTTGTTTATAAGGTCCAAAAATTTTTTTTTGTCATTTAATTTTTAAGTTTTTTTAACATAGTATCTGGAAGTAACTTAGATACTTTTTGAATGTATCTGTATCTGTACCCAGATACTTTTGGGAAAATGTATCGGTATCTGTACCCAGATACATCTACCAGAGAGTATCTGTATCGGTACCTAGATACTGAAAAAAATGTATCGGTTACATCACTGTTTAAATGTAATGTGAGAATTTTTGTATTAAAAATTTATCGCCGATCATTTAAATGACTCCTGATTTAAACCAATAATTTAGCAGAATAATATTAAAACTACAATTTTTAAAAACCAATATTTTAAACTTACACTTTTACATTTTATATTTAAAATATTTTTGATTATCAGTTGTTATTTGCTCAATTAATTACTATTAAACCAAAATAGGGAAACATTTTGCCTAAATGACAAAGAATTTATTGCCTTAAATGTAGTAGTACCTATATTTATTAGTTTATTAGTACCTATAGTTGAAAATGTTTTGCGTGTTTTTTTTTATTTAAAATGTCTCGACAATGTCGAGTCGACATAAAAAAATTTACTTTACCAATTTAACCTAAATAATTTTATAAAAAAAAATATTTAGGATTAACAAAATTCTGCCCAAATAAATTATACCTACTTAAGAAATAGAAAAGTTTATAAACGAGGTGCATACTTTACTTTTTCTACGACAAATACTTATTTATTATCTTAAAATAATTTAAATCAAAAATTTGTATAGAGTGCCATCTATGAAACAATAGGGGAATCTGTGTGTCACCGTCAAATGTCAAATTTTTATATTTTATAAACACAGATTATAAAGGTTATAAATCGAAATGTATTTCTTGAAAATTGACAGTTTTTTACAGTGTAGTAAAGAAAATGTTTTATGAGCACTTTACAGTGGAGTCCGACTGCCGGCGAAATTAAATGGTCACTACAATGTTCATATAAACTTTTTAAATATTGTCGTTGAGAAACTATTTAATACTTTTGTATTTTTGTATTGAGATAATAAAATAATTTTCACATTTAGTATTATTTTACAAGAAATGCATTTTATTTTAACGATTGTATGACATTTGACAACTGTCAACTAACTTAAAACTAACTTCAGCCCGTGACTAAAAACCTGTTGCTAACTTCAGCCCGTGACTAAAGCGCCGTAAAGCCACAACTTGTCAATGTGTATTTAAAAGGTCAATTAGTGTCATGGAAACATGTACGATAAAGGGCGTTTTAGAGGTGGGAGTAGAAAAAATGTTAAAACGGCGTGCCATAAATGGGCCCTGTACAATTTAATGGTAAAATTAAATTATTACTTTTAGTCTCATCTCTTTTTCGTTATGGAGTATCTAAATGGAGGCGATTTAATGTGGCATATTCAGGCTTCGGGAAGATTTGAGGAAGACAGAGCAAGAATTTACGGTGCTGAAATTTGTTCGGGACTGAAGTTTCTTCATAATAAAGGAATCGTTTATAGGTGAGACGAGATGTTTTTATGTGTGTTGCGTTGCAGAAAGAGTGCAATATTTTCGGTTTTTAAGAAGTAGTATCTTATTTTTGATGATTGCATAAAAGCGTGATATTTTTAGAAATGTTTCATAATAAAAGTGCCAGAAAATGGCATACGAACACCATCAAAATGTTAATTTATTGCTTTAATGTCCAGGTGGTGAATGTTTGGGGTAAAATTCTTAAACGAAATTTCGCGTTAATTTGATAATGGGTTCGTTGATCCGAACACTTATAAATTTTTATTTTTGTTAACCTCAATTCAGGTCAAAAATTTTGCAATACTTTTACTTCGTGACATTTTTAAAATGGTAGAGATGAAAAGAAATTAATTGGATTCCTACATTTTTAATTCTGGCAATCTTACAAACAGGAAAACCAAGCGATTTCCCAAATTTTTATGTTGTGTTGATTTTCAGAGATTTAAAATTAGACAACATTCTTCTGGACTATGATGGACATGTGAGGATTGCCGATTTCGGAATGTGCAAACTGCAGATATTTTTAGACAGAATGGCCGACACATTTTGTGGTACCCCTGATTATATGGCTCCTGAGGTGAGAAGAAATATTTTTGATTAATAAAAAGTTAAAAAAGACACAGTTTTAAGATAGCATGACAACATGATATAAAGTTTCACCCCTTTAGGGCAATTTATCTATGTTTTTTTTAGAAAAGTTTAAACAAGTTATAGTAAGAATTATTAAAATTTATTAAAAATCTCAGATAAATTAAATAATAATTAAAAATTTAAAAAAATGTCACTTGAAATAACCTTATTTATCTAATTATTTCATTTAACATTTTTTTATATTTTTAACATTAATATATTACAAGAGAGTTAAAATAAATTAAAAATCATTCGACAGATATTTTGAAAACTTGTAGGCCGTTTATTATAGAATTTTGTTAGGTTAGGAAAAAATCGAAAAACCACGTTGCTAAGTAATATTTTCACAAGAAGCATGAGTGCTGGTGGCAACAAAAATCCGAAGGAAAAATTAGATGCCCGAATGGTATTTGACAGAAATATTTCATGAGTAACAGTTATTCTGCATACACATAGCTTACAAAACATACGAGGTGTGTTCAGAAAATAACGGGAATTGTTAAATTTTGCGGGTTCAGAGGGTCCGGTTGTAATAAAATTTTCTTTATTATGTTGGTATACATGCCCCCGAAGTATGATAAAAACTTTAGCTGTTTTCATTGTTTACTTTGTCTGTGGCAGCCGCTAACGTTAGACGTGTTTTATGAGCTCGGCGATTTTTTGTTCGTTAAAAGAAATGGATCAAAGAATTTGTATCCAATTTTGCTTAAAAAATGAAATAAATTCTGTGAAATGTTAACAAAGGCCTATAGTAAGTCTGTCATTAGTAAAACAAGGTTTACAAGTGGTATAAGAGTTTCCAAGATGGCCGTGAAGACGTTGAAGATGACGAACGCCCCGAACGCACAAGCACATTAACAACCGATAAAAACATGAAAAAAGTGGAAGAAATGGTTATAAACCATCAGAGAAGTCGCTGCTGATGTTGGTATATCGATTGGCTCATCCCATGAAATTTTTTCGAATCTTTTGGGTATGAAACGCGGGGCAGAAAAATTTGTTCTAAAATTGTTAAATTTTGAACAAAATTTTTGGCCAAAAACAATTCTGTAATGATGCCCCAGCCTCCATATTCGCCAGACATGCCTCTGTCTGACTTTTTCCTATTCACAAAAATAAAGAGAACCTTAAAGTGCCGTCGTTTTGCAAGCATAGATGACATTAAAAGCGCATCGCTGAAAGAACTAAAGGCTATCCCAAAGATCGAGTTTTAGAAGTGTTTCGAGTATTGGAAGAAGAGCTGGCACATGTGCATAATATCCAATGGGGACTATTTTAAAGGCGACCACATTAATGTAGACAAATAATATTTGTTTTAAAAAACGAAAATTCCCGATATTTTCTGAACACACCTCGTACACTGTGGCGTACAGCAACATAACTTTAAATAGTATATTATAGATCAGGCGGAGAAAGCACATATTATCGCCGGGTCGTGTTTTATACACTATTTTTGTTCAAGCTTTAATTAAATAATTTCCTAAGATCTTTACTCGAAAAGATCTATCTTTTGAAGAAAAAAACATTATCATGTCATCACCGATGGCCGATCAAAATAAAACACATACTTATATACGATATTGCGTGTTTTAAACAAGGGAGTGAAAACATTTTTTTGTAGATAATCAAAGGACAACACTACAACCAATGTGTGGATTGGTGGTCATTCGGTGTACTTTTGTACGAAATGCTGATTGGCCAATCCCCATTCAGTGGCTGCGATGAAGACGAACTGTTTTGGTCGATATGCAACGAAAAACCAGTTTTGCCAAGATTTTTATCCAGAGACGCCATCGATATTTTAACAAAGGTAAAATATATACATTAAATTGAATTTATTACACACAAAAAGGTTTTAGTTAAGGCAATTTAATATTCAGATGAGATACATTTTCTATTAAAATTCATTTTTAACAAAACTAGGCTTACAAATTTGGAGGGATTAAATTACTTTAGGCGTCCAATTTAAATATGCATGATTTTATTGTAGATAATAACTTTTAATAATGCAATTTTCCTATTACCTTTTTAAAATATCTAACTTGTTTTTAGTTTTTGGAAAAAGACTGGAACAAGAGACTGGGTAACAGGTTTAGCTCACATGGAGATATTCAAGATCAACCTTTCTTTTTACCCATTGATTGGCATGCTCTAGAAAATAGGCAACTTGATCCACCTTTTAAGCCATCTTTGGTAAGAACATTTAAAAACATACTTATCAAATTTTAGACAAAGTTGTAAAAGAGTTTCAAGACTGTTTTAGGTTATTGTTGATAGTGCTTTAGTACCGAATCGCTATAGGTATACAAACCGAAAAGTATTAGCTGCTACGAAACTCTTGGTATTAAAATGTGTTACTAGTAACGATACGTGGGTAACGAAATGGTAACGAAATAGTTAGGCATGTGAACGAAACTGGGAACAGACTTCCCAGACAGCACATATATCCATTGGACGTCCAGCGGACGACCATTGTACATCCAAACGTCCAATGTAAGTCCATTTGACGTCCAATGGACATCTTGTGCTGTATGGGTTATGGCGTTCATAAATAATTTATTTCATGTAGAATAATCAAACAAAGATTTTTTTTTTCATTTGCAAATGGACTGTACTGGTCTAACTATTTTTTTCTAAATTTTAATTACTCATTAATAATGACACACGCCCTGATAACTATCTTTTCAATAGCTCAAAGTTTTATATCTAATATCGTTTTTATAGCTATAGTTTTCTTCACGATTCTTAAGCAGGTTTCATTCTGTTCCTGATATTTTTCAATAACAGTAGTATAGTGAATAGTTCTATTTCAATAAGAAAAGTTACCTTCCTTGTTCCCATCAATTTCCATACAGTTTCGTTTCGAGCCACAATAATATAACAGAAACTGGATATCATTGGCGGCTCATCAGGGGAGGTATTAAAGCGTTGATTAAAAACCTTTAATTCAATGATTAAACTGACATAGTGTAGATCACTATGATGATGCTTACTTTATCTGTCAATTTGACAGTTTAAATTAGTCATATTGTTTACATTTTGTGATGCTTTTTTTGGTTAAACATGAAAAAATTGCACTTGCACTTCTCGGTATCAAACCCAGATTCAGGACCGTTCTAGTCCAAGACCGCAAAATCCCATTCCCTGCACATGTCAGGAATATTCCCAGGATTATTCCAAGCGTACCAGAATAATCCCAGGAATATTCCTGGCGTAATAAAATGTCCGCTTTTTGGTTAACCCAGTCACCATAAAAAGAGTATTCCATGTAGCGGCATGCATAAGACTTAATAATTGTTAGGAGAATATTCCCAAGAATATTACTGGCGTAATCAAATGTCCGCTTTTTGGTTAACCCAGTCATCATAAAAAGAATATTCCATGTAGCAGCATGCATAAGACTAAAGTATTGTTAGGAGAATGTACCTTAATATAATTTGGGGATTACCCCTAGCCCTTATGGCCACTTATACCCAGGAACTTACCTTAACTAGCAATTATTAGTTACTGAGTAGATCAGTCCCACTCTAATCATTGTTTAGCTGTGCAATCACAGACGCACATCTCCAACTGATATTATTAACCTATCGATATATATAGTTAGCAAGCGTGCGTAAGCAACGGTGAGAGGTATTGCAACTAAACTAATGAATATTCACTGGGAATGTTCTTAGATGATGTTTGGAAGTTTAAGAGGATCATTCTATGGAATATTACCAATGAATATCCCTAGAATGAAGCGGATTATTCCTAGATGATAGTGCATATTCCTGGAATATAACCAATTTGTAGAAAGAGAAAATTATTTATTGTTTTTTGAATATAAAGAAAATTTACTGGCAATGTCCCAAGATGTTGCTTGGAAGTTGTAAAGGATAATTTTATGAAATATTCCCAATAAATATTTACTGGGAATGTTCTTAGATGGTGCTTGGAAGTTTTAGAGGATCATTCTATGGAATATTCTCAATGAATATTCATAGAATGAAGCGGATTATTCCTAGATGATAGGGCATATTCCTGGTTCTAAAAAAAGTTTTAGACAGCTAGTTCCAAGACAGTATGTCATTTTCAGACAGTTATAAGTCATGGAGTCTCGCGTGGTCTCGTCTCGTTTTCGGTTTTCATATTATAAAAACCAAGAATGGCCGTCAATTTGACCGTACTAAGTGGAACAAGATTATGCATGACGAGATTTCAAAAATTTGTGAAAGTCTAATGTCGATGGTCTCATGGTCATTAGGTACTAGTTAAAAGACGGTTTTTAGAATGTTTTAGGACAATTTTAAACTATTTTACTGTACAATTTTTTTAAAGAACTATATTTGCGTGCTCTGACAGCATGCTTTTATTTTTATCCATATTCTTTCTTCTTTTAGCTCCATCCTTTGGATACCCAGTATTTCGACAGAACCTTTACCATGGAAAGAGCAAAAATCACCCCCATCGAACAGACTATTATGCAATCCATGGACCAAACGCAGTTCCAAGGGTTCAGCTACACAAATCCAAATGCAACCGATAAATAATAGTCGTCGAAATTTAACGAAATTTGTTGTGATTACTTTTTGTCCCTTAAAGAGATGAATAAAGAAAATTATTTGTGATACAGCTTGGAAATGCAGCTACCCAAATAAACATAGCTCTCTATATGAGGTCCAAAAATAATAAAAATGTCTAAATGTAAATTAACAAAAAACATTTTGACCTTTTTGTTTGACCAAAAAGAGTTTACAGGTCTAAAATACGAAGTAGGTACCTGAGAATTTGAGAAACTAGATTTTTGATAGTGCAATAATAATCACCTTAACACGTTGTTCTCCTTAAAACATAAGCTTTAATAATTAAGTAATAATGTAGTAATTTATTGTGTTTTATATTATTAAAATAACTTTATTTTATATTGGTTTATTTGTAAATAAAAAGAATGAGACTCTAAGATTAGTGAATAATTTATTAAAATACTTTGTAGTCTTATGTCTATGTACAAACTTATAAATTGTATTATAATGTTTTGTTGCTTTATTTTGTTAATTTATAAATTCAATACCAAAGGGCGCGATTACGTTGTTCTTTATTTTATGTTTGCTGGTCACTTGGATTTTTACCACATTCTAAAAAAGCATAATATAAACTACTAGAAGACTAAACAAGACTAGACCATACTAAACCAAGTCCAGAAAGAACTAAATTTGACATAATACCCAGAAAGAACTAGATTTGACATAATACTTACACCATCTGCATCATTATGATAAGTCTTAATGATTTCGTTGATACCGTTTCCAGGCAACGGGTCTGATAAAAAGTATGGTACAAGGCTCAAATCGTAGTCAGTAGGTGGCTTGGATGCTTCCTCCAAATTTATTTTTTCCAAGGTATCTTTTTCTCTAACGACCATACAACAAGCTCTCATGGTAAAATAGTAGATTATTTCCACGCCTGAAAGCAAGCTGAAGCCCAGAAACAGACCTGCTATACCACCAAAAGAAACTAGAAAGAAAATGTGAAAACCAAATATGTTAAAACTCGCTGTAACATTTCGCGTGGAATAGCATCCATTTTTTTCTGAATATTTTCATTTAATTGGACTATCGTGGCTCGTTTTTATTGTAAACCCCGACTAAAGTACCCCCAGGAAAAAAATCAGAAGGGGTCATGTTATCAAGATATACGAGGTGTGTTCAGAAAATATCGGGAATTTTTGTTTTTTGAAACAAATATTTATTTATTTGTCTACATTAATGTTGTCGCCTTCAAAATAGTCCCTATTGGATATTATGCACATGTGCCAGCTCTTCTTCCAATACTCGAAACACTTCTAAAACTCAATCTTTGGGATAGCCTTTAGTTCTATTAGCGATGCGCTTTTAATGTCATATATGCTTGCAAAACGACGGCCTTTTAAGGTTTTCTTTATTTTTGGGAATAGGAAAAAGTCAGACAGAGGCATGTCTGGCGAATATAGAGGCTGGGGCATCATTATAGTATTGTTTTTGGCCAAAAATTTTGTTCAAAATTTAACAATTTTAGAACAAATTTTGCTGCCAGGCGTTTCATACCCAAAACATTCGAAAAAATTTCATGGGATGAGCCAATCGATATACCAACATCATCAGCGACTTCTCTGATGGTTCATAACCATTTCTTCCACTTTTTCCATGTTTTTATCGGATGTTAATGTGCTTGTGCGTTCGGGGCGTTCGTCATCTTCAACGTCTTCACGGCCATCTTGGAAACTCTTATACCACTTGTAAACTCTTGTTTTACTTATAGCAGACTCCCTATAGGCCTTTGTTAACATTTCACAGAATTTATTTAATTTTTTAAGCACAATTGGATACACATTCTTTGATCCATTTCTTTTAACGAACGAAAAACCGCCGAGCTCATAAAACACGTCTAACCTTAGCGGCTGCTACAAAGTAAACAATGAAAACATCTTTTTATCATACTTTAGGGGCATGTATAGCAACATAATAAAGAAAATTTTATGACAACCGGACCCTCCGAACCTGCGAAGTTTAACAATTACCGTTATTTTCTGAACACACCTCGTAGGTTAACATTACCAAATTATTAAAAATATGGTATTTACAGTTCACCAAAAATAAAAATATTATTTTTTACCTAAAAGATCAACCCATCCAAAAAGCACTTCTCGTTTATACCTAAGCATTGGCCAAGATACAAACTCAGCTTCCAAAGCCGCCGTATCATCAACGGCTTCACTGAAAATAAAATTAATTATAATGGTTTCGAAAAACTAAAGTAAATTACCCGTGTTCATTTAACTTCTCCACTTCATACACTGTATTTAAACACCCCAAAACACATCCACATTTATCCATTTTCTTAATATTCTTTAAATTCATGGCTATGCACTTAAGTCCTTCTATCTGGCAATGAGTGTAATCCTTCACCAAAGGATAAAAATGGGGTATACAATTACACAGCTTAAAAGCAATATTTATTCTGCATTGCACAGTGCAAGTTGTGTATGTGTAACCTTCCCCAAATTGCAGAGGAATTTCCTTATCAAACGCGCAATGCCGTTGCTTAACACTGAGCTGTTTAGTGTCTTCAGTTGTATAGGTTTGTTTTACCGAAAAAGATATTGTGTTCACCTTAAAGTCCCAAATGTGCTGTGGTTGGACATCTATGCCAGCCATTTCGTCCGAGTTTAGAATGTATATCTAAAAAAGATTTTAAGATAAGTGCGAATTGAAGAAAAGATCAGAAAACACAAACAGACCAGGTTGACTTGATAAGAGAAGAATACTGACGCCTCATGACGGCATGATGAACAAAGATCTACTTTTTGGTATGGAAATTGGGTTTTTTATATATTTTAACTGTTCAAATATTTAGTGCTAATTTTAATAAATTTAACGATTTTGGAGGCAGTAGAAGACAAGTTCAAGATAAGTAATAAAATACCAAATTTATTGGGTAATGGCATAAAAGTAAAATGGGAAATAGTTCCTTACAGGCATAACAATATCGCTGTTTTTAACCTTAAACTGCAATGACCATTTCAGGTCGGTTTCTTTAATGTACTTCTGTTCGAACTCTGGGAGCAGTTTTTCGCTCCTAAAACAAAGATTAATGTGCGAATTTAACGAGTACAGAATTAATGTGATCTCACCAGGGAATTCTTCTTTCGTATTGCCTCGAATTGAATGTGTAGCAGAATCCGTTTTCTGTGAAAACCGGAAAGAATCCTTCACAGCAACTATAATTATATGATTTCCAAGTGCACGTATCAAACACGTCCTCGCATTTATTCATTAACTATAAAGAAAATTTAGCGTCTCTAAATATAGAAGTAATAACTTATGCGGTTAAAGGTACTATAAATATGTTTTAATTGCTATGACAGTGCCGGCTTTAACCAGAATTTATCAACATTTTTTAACATGTGCTACGCTCTTCATATCGGGAAAAAATCGCACATACTGAGATCTGAAGAAAGATGGGCAGCACTTGAATGAAATTATTTTTGCTGCGCAGAAGTATTGACTCTTTTGTCTTACCAATTATATGTCTATAGGCAAATAATTATTTGTACAGGGTGTCCCGCGGCAACGTTTGTTTTAAATTTAAATAACTCAAAATAAGACTGCGTGGCATTGAAACTTGTATGCTCGCAATGATATTTTCCTGAAAGCCTATTACAAAAACAAACAATTTTTAATCGCTGCGCGGAGACTTTACTTTATTTTTAAAAAGCAAGTGCCCCTTTTTAGGATTTTCGTAAGCCATGATATAAGCCTTCGTACTCTCTAAAAATGAATTAGTCAAAAATGACTAATTTAATAGTTATTACTAATAACTTATTAGTGGCTGCTTTTTCACTTGTACCATGGTTAGCCATGGAATACCATGGTATCCCAAAATTTAACAGCCAATTCTTACGTAAAATTGTTCCCTGAAAATGTCGTCAAAAGTTAAAAAAGTAGAACAGTTTTTGAGATATAGTTAATTTTCCATTTAATATGGAATTGACTATATCTCAAAAACTGCTTCACTGTCATAATTTTAAAAATGGGGGATGACACTTAAGGGGTTAAAGCTTTTGTAATGCTTTTTGCGTCAACAGTTGTCGCTCTGAAAACAAACGTGGCCTGTGTAGCCTTGCGGTACGTTTTCGATGGTCCACCCTGTATAAGAACCAGTTCTTTAACGCATTACATACATACATACAACGATATCAATGTCATTACTGTTTAATTTTTTTCAAGAAGAATTGTTTAAAAAGTCATTTAAAGAGCGTTTCCCACGGGCTAGTTAGCTTTAAGTTAAAATTGAAAAAAAAGGTTAAAGTTGCTTGTAAGACTTCAGATAAAATATCAAATAAAATTGGCTTTAAATTCCTTGTGGTAGTTGAATAAAATATTGTGTGAGTGTACAATACCTATACTATTTATAACAAAAACTATTATTTATTATTATAATTATAAGTCTTTTATTGTAAATGATATATATTTTTTTATGTGAATGGCATCATTTAAGACTAGTTAATTGACGAAGTTATGGTTAAGTTTTAAAAAAATATTTTTTCACAATTTTAAATTTTTTTGTTTTTATTTTTTTATCTCGAAAACTAATAAAACTTTATTAAAAAAAAACTACACTAGTAGTGTAGTGTTACACTACAGTATTGTATACTACATTATGGCGCGTTAAAAAATCTATTAACTTGAATTTTTTAAATTTAAGTTCTGCGCACCGTAACGCGATTATTTTGACTACTGTCTGAAAGCTCTCAATTATAATACAGACTCGAATTGTTGAGAGAAAATTTAACAATGGATTTCTTAGTAAAAAAAATAATAGTTTTTGTTAATAATATTATGCTCTATATATTTATTTATTTAATTTATTTAATTTAATTTATTTTATTTTGTAATGTTTTTTATTTTGTAGGTTACTCAATGGCGTACATACGGATATTGCCGTAGGGTTTTATAAACAAAAATATAAACACTTACAGATATAAATACGAAATTTTAGCTGTGACTTTATTTTTTAATGGCCTAGTGGAATTTAAGAAATACTTTTGTAGGCTAGGAAAAATATGGTACGCCACTGGAAAAATATTGTTATATTTTTATATTTGCTTTTTAAAGGAAAATAATTAGATTTTGATATTTTAAAAATGTGGCATGTATATTTAATAATAATTATTGCATGTATATTTAATAATAATTATTATTATTGAATCCGGCACTGATTTTACAATTACAGTTGTGGTGACCAAATAGTGTATTTTGAATAAAACGCGGATAAATATGAGATATCGTAACTTATTTTTCTGAAGTAATATAAGTGTCAACAATTTTGCACTTCTCAAGAGAGCTTGCGTCATAAATTTCAGAAATTGTTCTACTTACATTGAAAACGAGACTTCTTAAGTTTTTCTCTTTTTTTATGAAATCTATTTTTATGGGTATTTTAACAAACTTGTCTATGTTGTCCAATGATAGATTTGTTAAAGCTTGTAGGTAGTCTATTGTATCTGTGCTGTTGTCTATGTCAGGATCTTCCATCATTCTCCTAAAAAAGAAAATATATATTTTATGTTTGTAACTTTAATATATAACATTTAAGTGGGTTAGGTTTTGTCCAGTCTAATTTTGTATATCTAGTCTAGTTGCCTAGTCTGTTTTAGAGAACTGTTTTGAAACTGTTTAATATTAAAACGGTCTTAAAACTTTTTTAAATTAACTATTCTCTAAAAATGAGTTAGTCAAAAATGACTAATTTAATAGTTATTAGTGGCTGCTTTTTCACTTGTACCATGGTTAACCATGGAATACCATGGTATCCCAAAATTTAACAGCCAATTCATATGTTAAATTGTCCCGTGAATCCGAAAATTATTTTCGGAAAATACCGTAAAAAATTATGAAAGTGGAGCAGTTTTTGAGATATAGTCAATTCCATATTAAATGGAAAATTTACTATATCTCAAACTTAACTTAACTTTTGACGATATTTTCGGATTCAGGGGACAATTTTACACAAGAATTGGCTGTTAAATTTTGAGATACCATGGTATCACATGGTTAACCATGGTACGTGAAAAAGCAGCCATTAATAATTATTAAATTAGTCATTTTTGACTAATTCATTTTTAGAGAGTAAAGCTATCCTAAACCATCTTGAAAATGTAGTCTCTCTAGTCTTTTAAATCTTATCTTGGCTATATTGTCTTGTCTTGTGTTTCTAGACTTTATAATCATAATCTTTAAGATTATGATTATAAAGTCTAGAAACTGTTTCTAGACTTAGATTAAATCTTATTAAGATAATGAACTGTTATACATATTTCGAATCCAACCCAATTTTTGAAAACTTACTCATTTAAATATGCTTCAATATTTTCCTTAGAACTTGGTGTTTCCTGACAAACAGTTAAACCTGGAAAAGGCACTTTCCAGTTGTGGAAATCCGTATCCAAACCGGTTATAGTCGGATTTGTCTGGAATTTCTCCCAAAGACTAATTATAATAACAACTGTTGCCACAGCCCCTACTGTCACACATACAAACCATAAAATCCTTAAACAAATAGAAAACACAAGTAAAAAAAAATAAAATTAAAAATATTTCTACTTTTCAAAAAACGGTCTTCCATCCTCAGCAATATATCGTACACCATGAAGAGTGGAATGTTCGAAGAACTCTTTAGTTTGCACATTCCAGCTTGTTTTTAGTAGCTTATAGTTTGATGGGGTATATTTTAAATTTTTATTCTTTTTCGGCTTTTTCTTTGTCCTTAACCTCATTATGACCAAGTTTACTTTTAACTGCCCCTGATTCGATAAAAGTTATGGTATGCGTGTCAGTGTTACAATACTATCAATATAATATGCATGTAGATTTGTAATTATGATTTTATATAACAAACACAAATCAATTTGCTATTGTGTTTTAAATGGATACATGCTTCTAGGAAGAAAAAAACTTTTTACTATTGGTATTGTTTGAAAACGTGTTGACGGAAATGTTTTAAAGTTACAGCAATAAAGATAAAGCCTACATAAACTGAACGTATATTTATTATTGTCTGTCTGTTCTTTAAGGTAAATGTTTCTAAAAATAGTAAGTTAATGGAGGAACCGTGAATTCTGTACAAACATGATAATGTACCCTTTATGTTATGCATGCTTGAAAAAATATAATAGGATCAACGTTAATTCTCTGCATATTTTTATTAAAAAAAAATAAACTGGTGTAAAAAATTTCTAATAATAACGTTTAATAAACTCATTGGTTAAAAACACCAATAAGGAGAAAAAACATTACTATAGATTTGTTTTATAATAATAATCACAATTCATAAATTTTTAGAACATCATTAATATTTATTAAAGTTGTTTAGTTTATTTGCACAAATTAATGAAAGACATTTCTTGGTTTTAAGAAAAAACTTCTCTGGGTCTACGTAGAGAAATCCCTAAATTCAATTCCATTTTATTAAGTTCGTGGCTAGAGATCGAACGCTGAAGTTTGATACCACAACGTTATCAGCCATGCACTGCCACCGTTGTCGAGCAATGATTAAACTTACAGGGTTACTATACCCAGATAACAATTCTAAATTTATATATATTGTATTTACTATGATATCATTGCTGACTCAGTGATGATATCAGATACCAGGGTGGCCAACCGTCCTGTTTTCCCCAGGACAAGTCCTGCTTTTTGGGGTGTCCTTAAGTAGCCTCCTGGGTTTTTGAAGCTATTGACTGGGTATTGTTTACTTTATAGTTTAATAATTCCTTTTTTCATTTTATTTCTTATATAATTTAATTACAATGTACAACTACCTGGTTATCAAAATTTAAAGAAGACAACTCTATCATAGACGCATGTATAATACGAGATGATCCAACCGATTTGACGCGACTGGTTTGGCGCGGCTGTACTAGCGCAGGTCTGTTGTGACGCAGACCGCTTCTGGCGCAAAGCCTATTTAGCGTAGATAAGTTCTGGCGCGAAGACTTTATGGCGCAAATAATTTAAAACATATTAAAAATCGACCTTATTTTATCAACCTTTTGTTGTAATTAGTGCCTACCCTGCTAGAATGATAAATATAACTATATAATATATATATATATTATATGATACGCTAATGACTTCCTATAATAATAATATAAGAAAGTTGGCGTTTATTTAGTTGTTATAGAGATGATAAGAATAATAAAATAAATTTTTATATAGAACAATTAATAGCTGGACAGGCACCTCCTAAAAAACTTAGAAAATATTTTGAATGTGATAAAAGAATTAAGAATATTGTAGAAAATTTCAATAATATAGGGATGGTAGAATATTTGAAAGGCTTAGCTTACAATTATAATATGGCTTAGCTTACAATTATAATATAGTAGGGATGTATTATTTTGTATGAATTTGTAATAAAATATATGTTTTGAATTACGTTTTAATAAATTTATGTTTCAAATAATATGTTTGTGTTTCATTTATTTTTCAGGTACATTGCGGTTTTAATGGTTAAAATAGGGTCGATTTTTGATATGTTTTTAATTATTTGCGCCATAAAGTCTTCGCGCCAGAATGTACCTGCGCCAAATAGGCTTTGCGCCAGAAGCGGTCTGCGTCACAACGGACCTGCGCCAGTACGGCCGCGCCAAATCGGTCGCGTCAAATCGGTTGCGCCAGAACGTCCTAGACCGTGTATAATAATATAGATTTATTCGTAATTCTTGACGCATCTGTTAGGTATAGTTATAACTTATAACATCGTGGCGTCACGATCTCTCTTCAAAGTAATCGAAGCATTAGTAACTTTTCAATTTTTTTTTGAAAAATACATTGCATATAATATTATGTTTCCTCTTTAAAAATTAATTAGTCACTTGTACCATGGTTAATAACAGTCAATTCTTATGTACAATTGTTCCCTGAATCCGAAAATACCGTCAAAAATTATGAAAGTGAAGCAGTTTTTGAGATATAGTCAATTCCATATTAAAGGAAAAATTGACTATATCTCAAAAACTGTTCTACTTTTTTTAACTTTTGAGGACATTTTCGGATTCAGGGGACAATTTTACATATGATTTTGGTGTTAAAATTTTGGAATACCATGGGAAACCATGGTATTCCATGCATGGTTAACCATGGTACAAGTGAAAAAGCAGCCACTAATAACTATCAAATTAGTCATTTTTGACTAATTAATTTTTATAGTCCATATAGTACCTCACAATGTTCTCACAGATGTGTCAAGAATTACGAACATCTGTTTCAAGCATGGTTTTTAGGTAATGTTTAATATTCTAGAGGTGCAAATTTAAAACTTAAAAAAGTATGTTATGTATCAAGTTTTATAAACGGAGTTTTATTAGGCACGAGCAAAGCTTGCGAACGAGTGTTTAAAAAAAAAAGAGTGCTTAGAGAAGTTTATAAAACGAGTTGCATACTATACTTTATCTACGACCAACACAAATCAAATTTTTAAGCCAATTTAAATTGTTAAATATCCGACATCTGACAAAATTAACCTCACTTTTCGCATTTTATAATAAAGCTAACTTCAGCCCGTGACAAAAATGCCCAAATGCAACGATTGCTAACTTCAGCCCGTGACTAAAACGCCATAAAGTCACAGCTTGTCATTGTGGGAGTAGATAATATTGTATTATGTATCAAGTTTAATAAACGCCATTATAGTCACGAACTTTAATCAAGCACGAGAGAGCTTGCGAGCGAGTTTTTAATTAAATGAGTGCCTAGAAAAATTTATAAACGAGTTGCATACTTCTTCTACGACAAATAGATAATATTATCCAAAAAATGATTTAAATTAAATATTCGTATAAAGCGACATCTATACGAAAATAAAGTAACCATCCCAATAAACTTTTTTGACGTAACTGTCACCATTAATATTATTGATCTTAATTAAACTTATTGATACTTTAAAATATTAAAATAACTTTAAAATATGAATATGTTAAGAAAATATTTCATCCTTTGATTTTTTTATTACTATAATTGTAAAATATTATCATACAGTATTAAAAATTCTAACACGTGAAATGTTAAGGGTGCAAAAAGTTGTATTTATTGGAATTCAAAAATGTTTAATGCTTTCTCAGTTAAATCTAGTTTACTGCACTACTACGGCGAAATCAAAAGGTCAGTAGGTACAAATGTTCATATAATATGCTTATGACTAAAAACCGGTTTCTAACTTCAGCGCGTGACTAACACTCCATAGAGCCACAGCTTGTCAATGTGTATTTAAAAGATAACTTAGTTAAATTTGACATGCCTATTATACCTACCTACCTTATATACCACTATACCATTAATATTATAACATCGTGATGTCACGCTACTCAAAGAATTTATATATTTCCAAAGTCATTTTTAAGAAAAAATTAATAGCTAATATAGTTTTATTTGAACTGGTATTGTTGTTTTTATTTTATCTCTATATTACAAGTAGTTTAACACTGATTTTCGACATCATGTCCCGACAAAACCCATTAACAAAACTTATTTATTAGGTTTTATAAGAGGCCCAGGCGGGTATGGTCATGGTCAGCACAATTGAAAAAATATATAGGTAACGGAGAAAAATTTAAAACATGTAACTACAAAATCACGGTATTTTGATCGATTTTTTAAACTTATCACCCTGATCATATGGAGCTCACAAATGAAAATCATTAAAAAACAAAACAAATTCTGGAACGGAAAAATATCAAAGTAACAAAAAAGTAACAAACCCAGCGAAACATGCTAAAAAAGCGATATTTTAAAACATTATTGATCAAAAAGTCACTTTCATGTCCCAAATTAAAAAAGCTATAAAATGATAATTTATAATTTTTTTGTCAATACAAAGATCAAATACCAAATGTATATTAATTTAACAAAAGTGTTGAAAAATCATATAGCCGAAGTAATTTAATAATGAATCATGATTTGGTTAAAAATAAATAGTTTGTCACCCTCTTGCTCTATTTTTAGAAAGCTAGTAATTTTGCTAAAAAAAAGAACAGGAAAAGTTTAATCCTAATTTAGATTATAAAAGACAGTCACTAAAACAAAGTTTTATTTTTACGCTTGTAAAGTTTGCTTAGCTTATGAACACGTCGTAAAAATGTTATTACCATGTTTATTACAATATACAATGTACACAGACCTAATAATAATTTTTCCCTTTTATTTTTCCACCTATTGCATTCAGAAACATTTTAAAAATCTCAACACTTTTCTAATAACGTTGAAGGCCTTATTAGTACAGCATGAGGAAAAAAGTTCAAAGTGGTCTGGGGGTGTAATTCATACCTACTCAATAAAAAAGTATTAATGGGTGCTCAAAAGTTGAAAACCACAACGGAGGGTGGTCCGATATTTCTACCAGATGTTAAGGGCACTCACTCTACTTGATATGGCAGGGACGGAATTTTACATCTTAAATTTGATTAATAGCATTTGGTGTTTACACAAGCATTTTAAAATTTTGAAATACAGTTTGAAAAAGATAAAAAAGTATACAAAAAAAGGAATAAAAATATCATAATGAGTTGAGTTGGGTTAAATTTTCACACCATCCAGTTGTTTTTAAAGAAAATAAACAGTTTAGGTTTTGTAAAGAGTATGAGTAATAGAACAATGCATACCGTTAGTTATTTATTTATTTGAATAGCTTTACAAACGATGAAATCTAAGTTTATTGATGTTATACTTCTTTTGGCGCTATAAGAGAATAATTTTAGGTCAAAGCTTAATACCGTGTCCATTAGCGTAACAAGCTATCTGACCTGGGGGGGACAGGGGCGGTTTTAAAATCCAATTTTGGAAGTTAATAAAATAAAACCTAAGATATCTAAATGATACATACATATTTCTTTTGCAAATTTGGTATAACATAAAATTATAACAAATAAGTCAGCAGTTTCCTGGGGGAGGGGCAGCGATGTCTGGGGGCCCCCTGTAGTTACGCCAATGACAGTGCCACCGAAAATATAAAACGCTTTTAAACTCCCGTCATAAGAATTAGGAGAGCATGAAGTCGCAGAGGTTGTCATTTATTTTGCTGTACAAAGATAGGTTATAAACGGTTTCAAGTATTTTATCTACTACCATAATGTGGCTTTTGGGCATTTTAGTCAGGGGCTGAAGATAGCTTTATTATAAGTTGCGAAAAAGTGAGGTTAAATTCGTCAGATGTCAAATATTTAAAATTGGCTTTAAATTCTTATTTGTGTTGGTCGTAGATAAAGTATAGTATGCAACTCGTTTTATAAACTTCTCTAGGCACTAGTTTTTATTAAACACTCGCTCGCAAGCTTCGCTCGTGCCTAATAAAACTCGTAACTAAAATGGCTTTTATGAAACTTGATACGTAATATACTATTATCTACTCCTACATTAACGAGCGGTGACTTTATGGCGTTTTAGTAATGGGCTGAAGTTAGAAACAGTGGCTTTTAAGCTTTTTAGTCACGGGCTGAAGTTAGCTTTATTTTAAGTTGGAAAAAAGTGAGGTTAAATTCAGGTGACACTTGACATATGTAAAATTTTTGCAATTAAATTGGCTTTAATTTCTGTTTTATGTTCGTCGTAAATAAAGTATAGTATGCAACTAGTTTATAAACTGTTTTAGACACTAGTATATATTAAACACTCGCTCGCAAGATTCGCAAAATTTAAAAAAAAAAATTAAAATTTTCAAAACTTTTTAAATATTGCAATTTTCAAAAAAATTTAAATTAATTAAATGTTTCTTTAATTAACCTCCGTTCGATTATTTTATTATTTTTAATCAAATACTTTCACAGAGGATTATTGGGAATATTTTTTTCATTGGTAATGTAGGTATGGGTCTCATTTAAACTAAATTTTTGTTATAAACATTCATAAAGTTATTTCCCTTAAAAATCCTGTTTTTAACAACATAAAATCGTTTTTTAGCCAAAATTGGTGAGGTAACATACAATTTAATTAAATAAATTATGTGAGTAGCAATGACTAAAATATGTATTTATACTAGTTTTAAATCAAAAAAGCAATGACACTGTTAAAAAACACAAAACCTTTACTTCTTGTGTGGGTCAAAATGGCGATCATGATTTTTTTTGAAGAAACATATAATATTAGATCATTAAGCACTCTCTCGTACAAGCACTAGGAGCTAAAATGACAAGAACGGTTGCTTTGATTGTCATTTTTTTTTTAAATTTTATATGCTACAAAATTTTTTAAATTTCATTACATTTTGACAAAAATTGTTCGAATTACAGCACTTTTATTTCCTTGACTATTCCACTCATTACTTTTTGTACCAATCAGATTTCAGAAAACGGGTGTTTTTTCAGTTTTACAGCGATAAAACTACTATTTATGTGACTATTCCACTCATTACTTTATGGACCAATCAGATTTCAGAAAACGAGTGGTTTTTTAATTTTAAAATAAAAATATGCGTTTTGGTCAAAAAAATCATACAGAAATTGAATCAGCAGTTAAAAATATTCGTGAATTAGTCTTGCCGAATACCATTCGTGATAAAATTTTCCCTTAAAAAATTTTTGATTTTTATTTACACAAGATTTTTCCTTGGAAATTTTGCTCGTGGCATTAATTTAAAATCACTCGCCTAGCGGCTCTTAAAAATCAATGCCAATTTCCAAAAAAAAAATATTCGAAAGTAAACTTATTATAATATCATAAAGGCATCTAATTTTTCTGAAAAAAATCGAAAAAACACGTTGCTAAGGAATATTTTAACAAGAAGCATGAGTGCTGGTGGCAACATAAATCCGAGTCGAAGACGAGGATTTTTGCACCTGCATGAATGCATTTTGTTTAAAAACATTATTTTTTTTCACAGGAAAAATTAGATGCCCGAATAGTATTTGACAAGATTATTTCATGAGTAACAGTTATTTTGCATACACATAGCTTACAAAACATACTACCTATTATACATGCATACATAATAAATATGTAGGTATTAATTCAAAAACTGAAAAATAGGTTTATTTAATCAAAAAATACTACAAACTTAACTATTTATGGTACAATTGAATCGGTGAGAATAAGAACAGTACAAGTCCAAAAATTTAATGTTAACAAGTCATTTTTTAAAATTAATTTTAAAGTTTAAAATACATTTTTATGAGAAGATATAAATTATTTTACAGAATTTGAACATTATATTTTATAGAATAGTTAAAATAATCCCGCAAAAATGTATTTAGAACTATAAAACTGATTTTTTTAAATATTTTGTAAAAATTTTGACTTTTGGAATTGTACAGTTCTTAATCTCACCGATTCAATTAAAATATAAATTGCAATTTTTGGTGACAAGTTTTGCCGCGGGTAAACTCGAATAAACCGCTGAAAGGTGCTGTCACACAGTTTTTACACCTAGAAACCATTTGTTATTCAAAATTGCGCGTTTGTGATTGGTGGAAATTAAGACAAGGGAAATAGTCGTATAAAAATCAAAAATTGTATCTGTAAAATTTTACCACTAGTGATATTACATATGAAAATACAATTTTTTTAGTTTAATTAGAACCCATAGTTAACCAATGGTTAAAGTATTTGATGTATGCATGCCAAAAACACGGCAGCAAAATGATGGGGATTTTTGGAATCAACGCACCCAAATTACCCAAAAAAGGGTTTTAGACACCATGTGGAAAACAACAAAATGTAATTTTATCTGCCAGTGTCACTTGCATCATGCAAGTGACACTGGCAGATAAAATTACATTTTGTTGTTTGCAAGTTGCATGCAAATATTGATAGTATCATTATATATGTTCATTTAATAGCAAATTTTGATTTTTCCCCAATTTTATGTATTACAGGAAAACTACTTTCTAAATTCCTCAAGAAATGTAGGTACTGTTAACAACACTTAAAACCATCTTTCAAAAACCTTGTTCTTTATCACGAGACTCTTTGTTTAATCTAGATGGCTGTTAAAACATAAGAAAGACAGCAAGCGTCTTTAAGACACACATGGTGCATGTGTCACCTTTGGAGTCAGCGATTCGTCGTCTCGCGCGATTCAAGCAGCCTCCTGCGATCTCGGAATCAGTCGTCAATTCGCCTCCCCACGTGTCCGTCGTTTCTCTGGGGTCGCATGCTAGATGCGGTGCGCTTTTTAAATTTTAACCATCTACCCCTCGGTGGAACCGTGGACTTTTGCTTTTATTTTGGGTTGACGAACGTTTTTGTTCGCTCACCTGTTTTAATGATGTGTTTGTTCTTTGATGTTTTGCGTTCGGTTTTTGACGTTTGATGTTTTTGCGGACCGAGCTAAATGTGGATTACCTGCTTTGTTGTTGATTTAAAAATTATGTGCATGGGTCGATGAGTCGATGAGAGGAAATAAATAGGTAATTATTTTATTTTTTATTGTGACTAGGTAGATGTAGTGAGAACATTTCAAATAGTTTTTGTAAATCAAAAAAATAAAAATAATAACAGTTTTGAAAGAAAATCGGCAAGGCTGTGTGTCTCATAAGCAGAAATATTCCACAGGGTTTGTAAAAAATTACAAACATAAAAATGGACAATAATTGCGAATATTGGACTGGTACAAACTACAACAATTACTTTTGATTGGTCAAAAAGCGCTCTGATTGATACAGTTTTGACAGATGACAGGTGAAAAAAACAATTTGCTGCATTTGGCACCATTATAATACATATATTATTGTAATTGTTCTGTATATTTGTGCATGTTTTGCAAGCCTAGCTGTAGAAATACCTACTTTTTCGTCCCTATGAAGACGGTAAAATTCAATTTTATCATAGTGTTTAAAAAAAATATTTTACAGGGTGTCCCGAAAATTTCTCACTAATTTAATAAATTATAGAAACATTGTACTTTTTCTAAAAATTTATTGAGCAAATTTACCACATGGTGACAAACAACTTTTTAAAGGTAATTTGGGTGCGCTGCAGTGGCGTAACTACCACCGGTCCTAACGGTTTCAGAGACCGGGGCCCCGAGCAGCAAGGGGCCCCCAAAAGTGGCAAGAGAATTTTTTTTTTATCTAAATATAAGAAAATAAAAAAAATAATTTTGTTTTTTTTGTAGTAATAAATATTCATTGCCTGCTTGATATTATATTTCTATTGTGTTCTTTTTTTCTTCAAATTTTCTCAGATGAGCATGATTTGATTGAAAACAAATTCAAAATCTTGAACTAAAAATTTGGAATTAAATATTTTGAAATAAACATAGGTTAATTGAAATTTGAAATTACAAATCTAGAATCATAAACTCAAAATCGAATACTTCACATTGAAAGTCTGAAATTTTGAATTTTTAAAAATGAGTTTAAATGATTCAAAAAAATTTCCTAGTAAGGGCCCCCTAGTGAGAATCCGACTGGGCTCCCATTTCTATAGTTACGCCACTGGTGCGCTGATTCCAAAAATGACCAATCGTATACAGTAGTTCTTACTTAAAATTATCTAATTATAATTTTAAATTATTTGCCCCACCATTTTCCCTTTACCACATTATGCACATTTATATTCATCTTCATCGAAAATTGATATTGATATTGATTTTTCTGAGTACGACTATATCTCCAGTCTTGTAATCATTCAAAAATCGGTCAATATAGCTTGGAAATGTAATGAAAGATTAAAAAACTAAACTTTTTATTTAAAATTATAATTATAATATTTTAAATAAAAAACTAAAGTTTACGTTCGGAGCGTTTTTCTTAAAAATATTTTCTCATCAAATAACAAATTTTATTCCATTCCTTTGTTAATAAATTAATTTAAGAGGATAATTGGTAAAAAAATATATATGAAGGGTTAAGAAGCAAAAGGGTACACGGAGAAAAAAATATAATAAATGATATTAGAAATATAATACTATTTATTATATTTTACATTAAATATAGTGACAGCTAAATCTTATGATAAATTTTAATATAAAAATATAATTATATTGTAAATATAATAATAATAATAATAAATGATATAATACTAGGTACTTAATTAACCGTATCATAACTTCAATCATATGACGATTATAATATTTTTATTATACTTATTAACATCCAGTTTTTTAATTTATATAATAATTTGATTTACTTTATATTATACAAATTTTAATATAAGTTTTTTAACATACATTTTTCTCCGTGTACAAGTGTAAAAAAAGAAGTGGAGTTATAAACTTTTAAAGTTTTTGCTATATAAAAAAATCTGGATACTTGTTTATTTCCCTTAAAAATCCTAGTTTTTAACAAAATAAACAAAAAATTGTCCGATTTAATGAAATTTACAAAATTTTGTAGCTTTATACATATATTGTATTATAGTAAATTATATTACAAGAGATGTAAGTTGCGGCGAGGTTACACACGACGCCGCATGCGGCGAATGTGTAACAAGTTTTAATTGCCATCAATTTTTAATAAATTTCTTTATATATTCTTCAATTAAAAAGGTAGCAGATTTTAAATGGTGTTTTAAGCTTATTGGATCATTGGATGACTATAGAGTTGTATAGCTAATAGCGGCTCTACCTAAGGTTTGCAGGTTTGCACAACCCCCAAAAAAATCACCCAAGAAGGAAGAAATAAATTATGATTATAATAATATCATCGATATATAATTTTTTTTATTTTCTTAGTAACTTTCTTGTTATAACACTATAGTTTCCAAGCAAATAATTAAATTTCCCGCTTGGCGCTTCGTATCGGTTCATTGATCGATGCCCGAATACCACGCCATCTGGTGTATAATTGTTGAGGCTAACGGGTTTGTTTTAAGGTCGCAAACCATTACAGGCTTTCGAATGGGCGTGTTGGGACCACGTGATTAAATTACGTTCAATATCATTGGTTTAATTAGATCGAAAGTGGTTGCAGGCAGTGTTGTGAACCGTACGATTTTAATCGTATTTGTACGATTATCTTCATGTCGGTACGATGTACGATTCATTATGTCAAATCGTACGCCTAAATACGATTTTTTGTCTTATAGGAGTTCTTTGTATTTTCGAAAATTAATAAATTTACTATTTTTAGTTGCATCTTTGAAAACCGAATTATTTTGCCCCGAAAATTAATTAGGCAAACATTCGATCATGTTTAGATTTTCAGTGCTGCCAACAAGAAGTGAAAAAATAAAATTTACCCCTTCGGGGTTTTCTATGACCAATACCATTTTATGTTTCTTCCACCACCTGTAAAAAGTATTTTATTGCATCTACAAAAAAAAACTGGTTTGCAGAACTTATTCGCCAGCGGTTTGGCGCTGCGCGTGATGAAGATTTATAGTATCAATACAAATAAAGGTGATGAAGAAGAAATACTATTTGCAAATTGAAATATTAAATTAAGATCAATAAGTTGACCAGTTACTTCATCAATATTAATATTGATGTTCCTCGTTCTATGACTTAAGTTTCTTTTTTTGTAGTACCTAATAAAATGACTTTACAAAGAATAACTTGTTTCTATCACACTGAATAACGCCTTTGATAAACAGACAGGATAGGATAGGACGTATCGTAAGTAGGTAAACCATTGTTTATTACACATATTTTTAAGTATTTGAAATTTCTTAACTTCAAACAATAAATTTAAATACCAGGACGAAAAACTTAAATTAAAATTAATTTTTTTATATTTTTAAATTTTATTTCTGTTTTATAAAAAAATCGTATTTTAACTGTAAAAATTTTTATCAAATAAAACTTTTATTTGATAAAAAGTGGTGTACGATTTTTACAGTTAAAATACGATTTTTTTTGGTTTTCCGTACGATTATTGTTTTTCCTCAAGTTGGCAACACTGGTTGCAGGACAAATGCAACATTTAGTGTGAAATTCACACTGTGAATCGTGTTACGTATTTTTGCCGGGCCGCGTTAACATTTCCGCTGCGTTTTTATTATTGTTTGTATGTATTTCTTATAATAATAATGATTAATTCAGTTGAAAGTTTATTAGAAAATCCGTTCGGTAGTCGGTCGATCGATATAAAGAGGCTTGGAAGACCTACTCCAAATTTAAACATCTTTCAATGTGTGTCCAGTAAAAGCCGGTCTTTTACTAGAAAATTTAATTTAGATATACTTATATAATAAACAATATATTAACTTAAAACTCTAATAGTAATTAATATTTTAAATTTATATTTTATATTTTTATAATTTAAATTTTTATTACCCAATTTATTTTTTAAAGCGATCTTGGCTTTGCACATCTCGTAATATCTACACCTATACATATGGGTGCAACCCCAGATTTTTTAGGTCACGAGCCGCCACTGATAGCTATACTGCCCTACTATGGAGAAAGGCAGTAACTGCAAAAAAATGCAAAATGCGTTTTCTTGTGGTATGGTAAAGCTATGGACATTTTGTAACCAAATTCAACACAGAAATGCAGTCAAATATCTCATAAGTTAAAAAAATCAATTAAATACCTACTGCTTTTTATAAAAATGTAGTTTATGCTAATTTCTTGTTTAGCAGTTACTGCCTTTCTCCATAGTAGGGCGGTATAGCCCCCATTTTAACTTCATCACTTAAAGTTTAAAGCTTAATTTTCATGTATCCGTTGGTCCGTTATCCGTTTGTTCGTTTTTCAATAAAATCGTCCGATAAGAAATGTTCTAATTTTCATGCATCCGTTGTTTAAGGACGTTTAACGGATTGATTTGGCGACAAATAGAAATTAAGGCCCAGTTTATTCACTTCACTAAATTTACCTAATGACAATTAATTAAGAATTTCAATTATGTCAACAATTGTGATTTATTATCTATGAATGGTAACTTTACCAGTTATCTGTCTAATAAATTAAAAGGTAGGTAAATATACCATAATATTGTAAAAAGAAAATAATATCTACACATTAAAATGTATAGTTTTAAAAAAGTTTGTTTTTCTTTTTTTCCGTTAAACTAATTAAACATTATTTACTTAACGAACGTATTTAATCTGTTTTACAATCATAATTTAAAAAAATATTAAAAGATTTGAAAATAAAGTATCTTAAAACAACTTTGGACGTCAAAAAAAGATACTACAGTAATAGATGAGTTAAAATTATTTTAACTTTCTCCATCAGACGTACAAAGTTGAAACTTGACGGACCGATGAAATGTCATAATTTTCGAATTATAATTGGACCAATAAGAGCGATCCCGGATGATCGAACTAACGGATACATTAAAATTTAGCTTAAGTACTCATTTTTTAATATTTTAAATGTGACACTTACAGATCTTACTATGGCAAACAAAAATTCCCTAGAACATCAGTTACATAATATATATACAAGGTGTCCCTAAACTTAGTGGCATAAATTTAGGAGCAGAATAAGCAAGTCAAAATAAGACGAAAATCTAAATAA